TACACGCAACACACACACATGCACTACTACCGCTATGGCAGCGCTAGCTGCCACTACCCTAGCGCTATACTACACTCCTCTGCCCACTTCGTCTTTGGGCACACTGCAGACCTCCTCGCACAAGCTGCTGAGGCAGCGCTTCCGCATGGCATCCGCAGGAATGAATGAATGGCTGGACGCAGCCTCTTGATTTATACTTCTGCGCTGCGTTGGTCTGCCATGTGTCCCTTGGCCCACGATGTGCACACAGTCCCAGCGGTCCTTGCTGGACAGGACCGGACTGACTAACTGGGACTGTTGACTCAGCGAGGTGGCCTACCACCACTTGACCACTTGCCTCTGCTGAACGCAGGCTAACTCCGAAAGGCCACTTCTAGAAGTCTCTAACTTGGCCTTTCGGTACTGTAGCAGCTACGACTTTGCCCTTTCAGGTAAGTAGCAGCTACGACCTTGACCCTTCATGCAGCCTACAGCTACGACTTCGGAACTGTCTAGACTCCTACTCTACAGGTCTATGGTTCGATTCCCTTCTACCCTGTGACCTACGACAATCGACCTACCACTGGCGTTCCTACAGGTCGCAGGTTCAAGTCTACGGGTTGACACTAATACTGTACACAGGTAAGACAGGGAACTAGGGATCGAGCCCTGGGATCTGCATTCGCTACTGCGAATTGGTGAATACCGTTTCAGAGGTTCGTTTCTTACCTAACGTATTTTCAGTGCTTTGCACTTGGTCGTGAAGTTGTCCAGTCTAAAAGATTGTTGTGAAGTTGATCTCCATATTCACTGGATATTTCACAGTTCTGAGTTTTCATCAAATTGGGCTTAGGTCCTATAGGGCCTTAGGATTTTAGAGTGCTCAGTCTGCATGCTGTGTGTTGTGTGGTGGACACATCGCACTGTGTGAGTTGTTTTGGAGCCACAACCACAGCACACAGCCGAAGGCACAAAATCACGTCACATGGGGTTAGGCGCCGAGCGCCCGGAAAGATATACTGAAGAAGGATACTATAGCAGATCCTCATACTCGGCCGATTTGAGCCTATTCTCTTGCTGATACCGGCTTCCCCCGAATAGGACGGCCAGTCATTACAGCCGTATTTGGGGCCAAGCTTTGTGTCTAGGTACAGCTTTAACGACCAGGCGTCCTAGTCGGGTGAAGATGGTAGCCTCCTAGTCGGGTTTTCTCCCTCGGAATTTGAACTTACCAGTTGTCCAGGACCGATATCATGGGGTAGCCTAGCCCAGTAAATGGAAAAGGGCCACATCTGCACCTGGCCATGATCATTGTAAAAGGGCCACATCTGCACCTGGCCATGGTCATTGTAAAAGGGCCACATCTGCACCTGCCCATGATCATTGTCAAAGGGCCACATCTAAACCTGGCCATGCTAACGGGAAAAGGCTACCATCTGCATCTGCTGTTGTTTGATTCGCCATCTGCAATGCGGTTAAATTGGAACGATACAGAGAAGATTAGCATGTGAAAAAAAAAAGAAAAAAAGAAGAGAACACATGCACAACGTACAATGTTCGGGGTTCGGGGTGCATTATATGGAAGACTTGGAAAGAAGGAAATGGAGAAGGATCATTAGGGTCTTTTTTTAAAAAGAAGACAAAAAAAGGCCGGCTGGGAAAGCAAAATTGATTCAATTCAAAAAAATCATCAGCTCCTATTCTAGGGAGTGTCAGTCTGGCTCCTATTT